GAGATAAGGATAGCTATACAGGGCATTGACTCACATTGATTTCCTGTGCGTGGGTGTTACCTTCTAGGTTAATTCTTTTTGATCTAACCTTTTCTCTAGTACCTGTTCCCCTTTTCCTATTGGCCTCAGTTGCATTTAAGGTATCTGCTTTAGTTTCTCTGCGTTAAGGGCAACAAATGCTATCTAGTTTTTAGGTGTCTTACCTATCCTCACCCCTCCCTGTGTGCTCTCACTGTATCATGTGCTCAAAGTCCAATCCCCTTGAACAAACAACCTTAACGCAGGAGATCGGAAACCCTGGAGGGAAAAGTTCCACAAAAGGATGTCCATCAGATCTGTTTCTTTATCCCACAAAGGGTGTCAGGCAAGATGCTGATTCCATGGCACCACACAGTTGTAAAATTATATAACTGTGCTTTAAGAGTTTGGTTAAGTAAAATTTTCAAAAATTTAAAATAATGACTCTCAGATAAAATTATATGACTCTGCAGTTAGAAGTTTATTATAGCAATATTTTCAAAATAGTAAAGTAGATTCCTATGCTAATATAAATATAGGTCAAAGATTTTATTCAAATAATTAATGAAGGAAACAGTAAGATGGTAAAACTATTAGTTCAAAAGCTAAATATTTACAAGGCGATATTATGATAAGATTGTTGGACTAGATATAAAATTGGTTAATGTCCACAGGGTAATAAGTTGTAAATATTATGGCTATTCATTCTACCAGAAAGAAATTATTTATATCTCTATGGAGCAAAAGTCTGTAACTTAACCTCTGCCTTACAATATTGTTAAACAGTCTATTCAATAGAAATACTTCAGTCCAGTCTTGTATTGAAAGAACACTCAAAAATATCTTTGGGATATTTCTAACTTTCAAATAATTTTTCTGACAAGCCAAATGATCTGTCATAAATGAAAGCTCTCAGTGTTCTATTTTGTTTTCTTTATTTTGTTGTCATCTTTGAGTCAGCATCTCACTATGTAGCTCAGGTTGGCTTCAAATTCATGATCCTCCCACTGCAGCCTCCCTAGTACTGGAATTATGGGTGCACACCACCACACCAAGCTACAAAACATCAGTGAAGAGACAGCCTGGATGGAAGTGCCTGATCATCTACCTTTTTTTGCTTTGGAGATGAGTCTCACTATTCTGCCCAGGCTGATCTGCAACTGACTGGACCAAGTGAGCCTCCTGCCTCAGCATCTCAAGTAGTTAGAGCTCACCTGGGCCTGGCTTGATTTTTAATTGTACCATTTGAAAAAGATCTTTATTATTTTTATGTGATCCATGTACAATTTCCATATCTTTTTCAGACTAGCACTCTAAATGTGCCTTAACTCATTCTATGCTGAAATAAACATTAGAACTTCATAAGACAGTGTTTAAATGAATCTATATCTAGGTATTTTATTCATTAAATGAAATGTAATGCATATTTTAAAGCATGATAGAATAAGTAGGCTATTCCACAAGTCCAGAGATTATAAATATTTTAAGGATGTGTCTAAGATATTTTACACTTTGATAAGCTCCCCAGGTGCCTAATAATCTTCCTAAATATAAATGCTATGAAAAAAACTTTAAACATATTTTAAGACTCATACCAAGCAAAGAAAGTGAACCAAAACTTAAATCTTCTTTTAAAATATATGGTATCTGTTAAATAATTTGCATACCAACCTCATAATACAGTGCTATATGGTCACCAAGAGAAAGCTTAGTGATCAGTGATATCATCAAATAATACATACACACACAGACACAAGCCAGTAGACGTCCTGACTATTCAATTGTGCCTTTTTTCATGGATAAAGTAACAAACATTCTTCTATATTTAGCTTTGAAAACTAACATATATACAAAAAAAGAACCCATCTACAAAAAACACATCTTTAATTTCTAACATTTTATTACAGATTTTTAAGGTACATATTCATTTTCATATCTTCAGCTTAAAGAAAGTAGCTTCACACAAGAATAACTTCTTGTATGTCTGCCAAGGTAAATTGTCCTTTTTTAAATTTGTCATAACATTATAAATAAACTACATAATGTGCTTATGTGAACCACATCACAGCATTTGAAATGCACAAAGTATTTGCATTGTTTTAATATGAGAAAAGAAAAAAAGTGTTACTTATTAGAATTAAAAGCTTAGCCCTTGTTATCCATTATTCAAAAATAGTACATCATGAATTATTCACTGATTACAAAATAAACTACATGTTAAAAGGCAAATGTAGCTAAAACGTGTGTCCCTGGGATTTTCACGTAGTATTAAGCATTTGGAGTAACTGGAGGCAAATACACTCAGAACCACACATGGGAGGACCAGGATGCCCTAAAACAAGATAGCTTAAGACCACATTAAAGCTAGCTTTGAAAAAGTCTGGAATTCCCATCACTGATAACACAAACTTGAATTAAGATGGTGAATTCTAGGGGAAGAAGAATATTAAATGCAAGTACGTCACCGTGATAAGACAAGGCATGAGGAAACTCTCCAAAATGGTAATTCAAGTCAGGAGTTCAATTTAGAATTGGGTTTCCAATCCTTCACTGCACCAAGTTTTCATTAAGAGGAAGATTTAAGAGAGAAAACTCAGAGACAACAGGTAAAAGTGGTAGTCAACAAATACTATGAATTTGTGGATGCAGAGGAGACACCCAGAGCCACAGAGGGGAAACTGAAGAGACAACTATTCAAAAGATCAACTTTCCAAGGACCAGGGTGACAAGTAAGGATGCTAAATATTAGTTCTTAAATGTAAGCCTGAATAGGTTATAATTAGATAATCAAATGATCCGTCTCTTCTTGGTCCATCTTGTCTTCTACCTAACATGGAATTCTGTCAACTTGCTCTATACATTTCAATAAATTAGACTCTAGATTTGTATTTCTTTTCAAATCTAGCCTGCATTGTAAAGTCATTGATAGTTTTAATACATACTGATATTTGGTCATCCTTGACCAGAACACTTCAGCAATAACAAAACTGAGGAGAGGACAGATGTATTATAAAAATTCATAATTTGTATTTTTAAACTTTTAAGGAAAGGAAAAAGTCAGTAAATAAAACTTTTTTTGGAGTGAGTGGACAATGAGACTAGCGCAGGCTAGCCCAGACTCAACATCCTCCTGCCTCAACCTCTGGAGTGCTGGGTGACAGGCATGCACCACCATGCCTAAACAGTGAATTGACTTTTAAACAAGGGATAAGGCAGATGAGGGTGGGAGAAAAATGAAGGTTCATTCTAGATTTGAAACCTCTATATGAGAACCTATTACCTGGTTATCTTGGATATCTTCCAGGAACATAAAATCCTGAAACATAAGTACTCTATTTCCAAGTCCTTTCATGTTTGGGGGGATAATTTGAGACTTACTGACCAAATTCATTGTTTTGGTTCAGATCATGTGTCCTCATTGAGAAGACTTGATCAGAGGCAGGTTTTAATTTGCTTTGTTTGTGTGTTTCATATTGGAAAGAGTGAGACAATATATTTAAACACAGTCAATATCTGGGCTTAGAGTCAATATCTGAGTAATAGCAGTTAAATCAGATTTAATCTAAGTACACTGAATACAAATCTAGTATATTAATAAAATATACAGAAATAGTATATTCTTTGTAAAATGACAAATTTTTTAAAATCAATTAAAAGGAGATACTCTAAAGTACATTTTCAAATAGGTAACTTCATAACTTAGAATAGTTTGATTTCTAAACCACTAGTCATAAACTGGATCAAAATTGAGAGAGCAAAGCTGACTAATGTATCAGCTGCTAGATGTGGATGTTTCTATGTTGACAATAAAATAACTTTCTAAAGCAGAGTGGAATATATGATTCTTGCTGCTCAGAGAAGACTGATTATAAACACTATAGAAAACATACTGGCAGCTTTGCAATTAATCCACCATTTTTATTTAGAGTATATTTAGAGGCTCTGATTTTCTTTCTGATCATATGCCTCAGTTTTCCAATGTAGAACTGCTTCTGGGCAGTGAGGAGGCTGCTGCTTTAAACATTAGCAACAGACTATCAATAAACATTTCCATTAGTACAGACCTGTGACATGATATAAAATATGGTATAAATGACTTGTTACCTCTGGCTTATACTGCTTATTAAATAACACAACAAATGTTTTCAAAGCTAGTTAGAATTATAATCAATAGTATTTTGTATTAAAGATGTTGAGACACAGATGTCATGACCTTAGACAAAAATACAAACAAGCATTTTTGAGCAGTATCTTTTAAAAAACTTTTTAAAATCTGCATACAGTGCACAGGTCCATCATATATATTTGGTTAAATTATTTATTTTATGTATTCATCTATAATGCCTCATTCCTAGAAGGAATTGAGGTTAATGTTGTTAGTTTTAAAACAAACAGAAAATGTATGACTGTATCTATCAATCTAGCCATAAGATCCACTTGTCATTCATTCATAGGTACTACTTTGGTCCCATGTGCATTGATGTAGGTGATAAGAATTTTGGCTCTCTGTTCTATGACATCGATAAGCTTTTCAATTCCTTGTCTACCTCCTTGACTTTCCCAGTAAACTTTATCAAGAAAGAGAGACTGAAGGAGTTTCTGCCGTAAGTGCTGGCTCTTCAAAACAGAAACTGCAGATTCAGGAAACCTGAAAAAACAACATGATATTTCATTCTTAGTAATTGCTTGGAAAAATTATTCCTTCCTCAGTTGCTCTGCCCCTCATTAATCTGTCATAAATCACACTATCAAATGTTTGAGAACCAAAACATTTTTATCACTGCCAAGATAACACTTCTTTTAATGATAATATACTAGAGAATGTGCTTCAAGTGAACTGAGTTTTCTAAACTATTTAGAGCTTGACATGCTAACATCTTAGTTAATGTCATTATATGCAGATAAAAAGAGGCCAGAATTAGGATTCTGTTATATCAGCAAAACACTTCCCTTGGTCTTAAACCCATTTCACCCACCCACAGAGCTCCCTTTAACCTGTCACCTAGAAAAGTGTCCTCGTAAGCATCAAGGTGGGGTTTTGTGCAAAGAAATGTAAGAAACAAAATGCTGACAGTTTTAGTAAATAACTCCCTGAGCAGAAGTTATGCAATTGAGTTTAAAATGAAATAATCCCACATGTATATAGTGAAATGAGAAAAGAATCATTTGAAAATGCCAAATTAGAGAATGAATTGTCTTTGATTCAGATTACACTTCTGGAATTCTGATGACTTGGAACCATTTTATTTAAATGTAATGTCAAATCTCGCTGTAGTTTGGATGTTGAATGTTCCCCCAATGGCGCACGTGTTAAAGGCTTAGCCCTTTACTGTCCCTATTGAGAGATGGTAAGAAGTGAGGCCTCGTAGGGGGTTTTAGGTCTTTGGGGTGTGTCCTTGAAGGAGATAGTGAGACCCCAACCCTGCCTCCTCTTCTCTCTTTCCATTCCTGACCATGCAGTGAACAGGACTCCTTCTCTGAGCACAACCTCCATGACACACTGGGCTGCCACTGACCCAAAGCAACAGAGCCACTTGGTCATGGGCTGAATGCTTCAAAGATGTGAGCCACAATGAAGCTTTCCATTTTATAAAATGATTATCTCAGATACTTCTTACAATAAGGGAATACTGATTAGTTTTAAATAAACTTACAGAAACACAACTTTTAGAGCTGGGGCATTCCATGAATGGTATCTCTCTGGAGAACTTAAGGTCAGTTTGGAAGGGTTCTTGCTGAATTACCTTGAGAGAGTACGTTGTACTTGCTTCTCTTCATGTAGGAAGTAGAAAGCCAAGAGTGTAACATATACAGTATCTGAAGACCTTCGCAAACTTTCTAGTTCAAAAATCTCCGGTGATATTCTTCTAAATCCATAGTTTGGTCTCTCCCAACACTCATTAAAATACTGGTGAAAGCACTGTTCAAATATCAGTGTTTACTAGCATTTTTTCAAATAAATTCAGTTATACTTCAAAAACTACAGCAAGAACTATGTGCTTATTTAAGGAACACCTCTTATCAGAAATTTCAGGCCTTCTAAGCACCTTTCCACATTTTGATGGGCCACAGCAGGGACACAGAGATGAAGGGGTCCAGGGACCCTAACAGTCCTACTACTGCTAAAACGCCGACAGCCACAGGGCTAGACATAGAAATGCAGAATTAAATAATTTTTGTAAAGTGCTCTGAGTTCCCTAAAGACACGTATCATGTCATCTTGTGGGCTATAGTATTAATCAAGTATTGATAATCTATGATGTGAGTTCTACAGCCCTTCAACTAATTTAGATGTGGCAGAATATATGAGATGAAAGAGTTAAAACCATTAGTCTCTTTAGTGACCAATCCTTCTCATAAAAGAAGACAAAAACGTTACTGGTCTTTGCGTTACAGTAATAGGAATATTCAGTCCATAAATCTGGAATTAGCAACATACTTGTCTTTGCTTTTCAATGTGGAATTATATATTCAAGGAAGGTTTAGCCATAAATCTGCTATTTCTCATAATGCACTTAAAGTTTAATCTTCTTTGAGAGACTAAATAAGAGTATTCATATGTACATAAGTGTTTGAAATGGATGGACTGTATGCTCCATGCACACTCAATTCTAAGAGAAAATTTCAGGCCCCGTAATTTCAATTCAGTAAGTGATGTCTTCGGAGTGTAAATTTTCCTATGCATAAATTTCCCCTAGCTTAGACATTTAAAGATCTGCCCCATACTCCACCTTCAATCCACAAAGAGATGTAAAGAACAGGTCTCAACAGGGCAGGCCAGAAACTCATGAACTTAGAATTCATGAAGCTCAGAGGACACGTGTTGCTTTTAAGGTAAAAAATAAAATCCACATTACCAAGTCCTAGAGTTTAGGAAGAACAACTGAAATATGCTTCAGAGTATTGTTATTAAGAATTTTATGCTTGTTTGTGTTTTCCTGGTTTAGTTTCTAGTTTTGTTGCTAGGGATGGAACCCAGGGCCTCACTCATACTAGGCAAGTGTACTACCACTGAGTACACCCTCAGCCCTATTACCAGGAGTAACAGTAACAGAGCATGAATGCCACAGGTTATTATAAGAAAAAATAATGGGCTTGGGTTTGGAACAGTGTAGTTCTACCCTCACTTAGTTTCACAGAGTTGGTTTGCTATCTTACTAAAGCACCCCTGTATTTTTAAGTCCCCATCCTATCCCAGTTTCTTAGATAATCTAATTTCCAACTAAGGTAGGAAGCATATGAAGGGAATCTACACTTGGTATGAAGTGAAGCTTGAAATTGAACCACAGTTTCTCTAACTGAGTTTGAATAGCAGCTCAGACTTTATAGCTAGCTCCCACTGCTACTGAGTGTCTTAGTCTTCTCTATCTCCAAATGAATGCAAGAGCAAGTGTGCCATGAATATGCATTGCACTTTAGCCTCTGCAACACAGAACTCCTTCTTGAGTTTCACAATCGTCCTCTCTTTCTGTATCCTTTCTGAGTTCTGCCAGATGTCCCCAAATTTTTGAGGTTTCCCCTGAATTCTTGGTCAGTCCTGAGTACAGCATGACTTCTTTTCCCCCATAATCTGCCTCCTGGAAGTGCTCAAAAGCCCTCCTGTCTGACCTAACCGGCCAGTTGTCCTTTAACACTGTGCCCTGGTCACCAGATTCACTGTCTTTTTCCACTGTGTCCATAAAAGTCACTTGAGTTTATTATGAATTTGGACATCCTATCTGTAAGGATCCTCCCACATTCTATCCTATACCCTAATAACAGAGCCTCTGCCCCCTCTCATATCTGCTCTTCCTCTCCCTGTTTTCCCAACCTAACCACATGGATTTAAAATATTGTGTAAGCTTTGTAGGTAGCCTGGGCTGTTGATTGATGCCCTGGCTACCTTCTGGGTTTATTTCCCTTCCCTGCATCTCTATTCCCAGATTCACATTCACACTTCCTTTCAAGAGTTAAGTCTATCAGACATAGAATATGTAAACATCCTGAGGCTGTAAATCCATCATAAAACTTACTCTTTGATGCCCTCCAACAGTTTGAAGTTTAAGTTATCTTCACTTCTGTCAAAGAAGCCCTTATTGTCTATAAAGACCAAATGTCTTGGATCATGCTTTCGCTGGACAATGTGTGCTAGAGCCACAGAATTTGGTTCATCACAGTTTGGCCTCAATCCATTGCGTGCACAGGTATCTTCCTTGCGTGGTCTGAATCCACAGCAATTTGTATCTAAACGATTATAAATCTGGAAAAGGAAAACAAAAACAAAATCCAATTTGCTGAGTAAAAGACAGTTTGGGAAAGTCATAAGATTTCTGAAGAGCTGGTGCTTTCTCAATAGCTGACTTGCCAGACTCTGTGTGGGCCAGGCTCATTTAATTAAAGGCAACTTTTAAAATAAATCCAAGGTCCACAGTCTTCTGACTCAGCCATGGTTCTAAGCATTTCCAGCTTCTGTAATAGCTCCAAAGTCAGGTCATCCAAGTTAGGCACCTCCACCCTAATATTCAAAGTTCCCACTGGCATCACATACGGACACATGGCCAGCAGAATTTCTGACTCCATTCAGGAAAGAAAAGACACCATTGTACTTTTATATATCCAGGGAGCCATCTTGCTTTCTCCCTCTTGTGGGTTGATACAGGATCTAATCACCTTGTTGCCCCTAAAAGTCTCCTGCATTGGACTTCAGTAGTACCAAAGCTAACCAGAAATAATATATAAAAGAAATCTATTGGAAAGCTGTGATATCCAATAATTAAAATTAAATCACCTCTTACATGGAGGCTATGGCTAGATTCTGACTGAAAGAGCACAAAAACAAAACCATGGAGGCTTTTGGTGCTTAATTATAGGGAACAGGACTACCACCCCATAGAAGATGATAATCAAGTTAATTAGAAAAGTGTGTACTTACATTTCTATGAGGCAAGAAAAAATGATATTTAATAATCAGAGTGAAATAAAAGGTTGGTTCATGAATTAGATAAGTTTAATGCCAAATCTCTGCTCTGGCTTGTTAGCCCTGCAACCTTGCATATATTCCTTCAAATCACTGACTCTTTGTTTACTGGTGGGATAGGAATGCATATTTGGAGATACTCACTATGGTTTGAGTCTTAAATGTCCCCCATAGCTCCATGAATCAAAGACTAATTCCCCCTCTTGGTACTAATGGGAAGTGCTAGAAGCCTAAAAGGTGATGTCTAGTAGGAGGTCTTAGGTAATTGGGGGTATGTCCTCGAAGGGAATATTTAGTACTTGATCCTTCCTCTTTCTCACTCTGTTGTTTTTCAGTTACTGTGAGATGAGCAGTTTTCTCCACTATACATACCTGCCCTGGTGTGCTGCCCTGTCACCAGCCCAAATCAACTAGATCAACCAGGGACTGACACCTCCAAAACTGTGAGCCAAAACAAATCTCTTTATAATCTGATTATTTCAGGTAATTGCTAAAGGAAAGCTAACTAACATCATACTAAGAAAAAAAAAAGACTGTTATCATCATTGTTGAGAAAAACATACACATTCTATGAAATAAAAAAACAAGCTTCCAAGGCAAAGAGTATATGGATCTACTTTATATGAAGACAAACCAAATCTCTCAGAAGTTTAGTAACTTTCCTGCATAGAATATTAGTAAGTAGCAAAGTTAGGATATAGACATAACTCTTGTTTGCATCCAAATCTCCATGATCACCCCCCAGTATGTTGAGTGGTTTGAAGCTAGCATGTGTACAGATTATATACATGCTCATAGTTTAATAGATGCCTGGACAGATACTTCCACTCCTCCTGTGTTTTTTCAGTACCCGTGGGGCTCAGTTACTCAAAAAAAGCAGCAGTGCCAAAATTTAGCCTACTTTGAAATGGTCATTCAATCCTTCATCCAACACCTACATTACTGAACATCTACATCCTATCAGAGACCTGGACACCAAAATAAATGCCCCTAAGGCCAGCACCTCCCCACCTTCACTATTTACAAAGGAAAATGAGGTATCATTTAACTCTTCCTTGTTACCACAGCAAACTTCAAGAACTGGACAAATGACCTTCCTGTTTTCTACATGTTCAACTTTGTATCAAGTAGCATGTTTTAAGAACAGTAACTTAAGAAATGCTAACAGAGAGCAATTTTCTCTGAAGTCCATGTAAAGCTGGTCACACATGGTGGAGTCGATCAGTAAGCAACCAAGCACTGGCACAGCTCAGAGAGTTTAGACAAAGGGAAGGCTCTGTCAGGGCTGGTCCCAGGAGGTTCATCTATAGAGAAAGAAGTATAACAAATGATTTATCAAAAAGATCCCAGTCTCTACTCTAGAAATATGCTAACCAATACAAAATTCATTTACATGCAGAAAGTAGAAGATTTGCCCATTTCTGAAAGTTGGTGATGGTAAGGCAAAGTTAAATGACTGTTTCAAAGGGACAGAAGTTACTACCATGAGCACAGAAGGGCTGCCCAACAGTGAACAAGGGAATCACTGCAGGGTGAATAGACAGATAAAATGAAAAAGCATAAAAAATAAACTATTTGGAAAATTTATTGAGTCCTTTCCCCTCAAAAAATTTTATTCATTTTGTGCAGAACCTACATGGACTTTGAATGCAAAAACACATCAAATTATATAAAAGAGACTGCATTTGATTGGCAACATGATAAAAAGATCCAAGCTATAGTAAAAGCCATGCATATTAAATAAATTAGTGTCAGATAATAAGCTCTTAGAGCTTAGGCCCTAACTTTCATCACTTCTATAAATATTATAGTTTTCTATTTTTAAACTACAAAAAAGCATGAAAAGTTGCATGTGTGGAAAACACTGATGAAAGTCATCTTTTTTTGCATTACCAACATAAGATTGTTTCCTTCCATGTATTTTTAAAGTGCTCTGTCTGATCTAATTTTGAATCATTTGACAGTCGATGAGTTCACCCCTTCCCTGACAGACTATGTTAGCCACACAAGTCTAACAGACATTATTATTGAGTACTGGTGTGTGTGTTCAGTTCAACTGCTCTTCTAGAAAACATTACTACTCATTTGAGTCACAGCTACATGAAGATTTCAGTATAATGTCATATATCGTGTGTGTGTGTGTGTGTGTGTGTGTGTGTGTGTGCACTTAGAGATGCAGAATCAGACTATCAGGCCTCAAGTAGCCTGTTTTACTCCAGTTCCTTATCCTCCAACTACAGTAATTATGTCTTTGTGTTATTGCTCTTGTCTAGCAAGGGCTTGTGTACCTTTTAAATCATGCCCTCTAGCTCTTCTCAGAATTTTGTTTAGTCTTCCAAATTCCCATTCAACAAACCAAAAATAATTTCACCACAAAACTATAATCCACTCCTTTAAATTCAATGTCATTTTCCTTGACAGGTGATTTAATTATGCAATTGAACAGATTTCTGCTTATTTTTAACACAGCTTGCCAATTTTTAAAGCCTAGTAAACTATATCCTGCATAGCTATGAATCCATAATATGGTTTTAAAATCTTTGTTTAGTACATGCATTAAAACAATCATTTCATTTAAGATTGAGCACTGTAGTTCACATCTATTTGTCTGTGTTCTTGGGTAATTATCCTACAAAGAAGGCTGTTAGGGATAAATTTGTCAGTTAGGCAACTGTGAGTGTTAATTACCACTACTACTTGTTTGAATTCACATCTTCTTCTTTAAAACAAGGAAAATCTTTTTTTGCAAAACCAATCTTCTGAATTTGAAGAGGATTGCCAACCATTTCCCATAAAAAGCACTCTTTCCTTTTTTAGGAAAATACATCTTTTCAATGTTTACCTAACTAAAATTATGCTAAAAAAAATCCAGGTGTTACAGCCAATTTTTTTTTTTTTGGTAATGAGATATTTTTAGATATATTTCCTTCTAAACTTTTTTTAAATTTCATTTTCCTTTTGTAGTGTAAGTTTTGCCTGTAGGAAAAAAGTATCTTGTAAGTGACTCATGTTTTGCTTACAGCACCGAGCAAGGGCACCTCTGCGGCACTGACTTGACTCTCCAAGACTCATCAGAAATCTGCAGAAAGCCAATGACTTTCCACACAACCACCCTTTTGGGTTAGTTTCTTCTTATTTTCTTTTTCCTTGAAGCAATGTGATTAAACTGATTTCAGACAACACCTGAACAAACACAATAAAAAATAGACTAAATATGCTGTTAATATTAATAACAAAAATAATAATAATATCCATATGTTGAGTGTTCACTGTATGCCAGGAATCGTGCACTTACTGCTCTACTCACATTCCATTCAATCCTTATAGTAACTAAGAGATAGGTGCTACCAGTAGTCCCATTTGATAAGTGAGGAAGCTGAGGCACAAAGAAGTTTGCCAACTTCCCCCAGGTCTTCTAGCTCACATAGACAGTCAGGACTCCAACCAAAGATGTCCATGACATTAAGGTCCCGGCTTTCATCCTCCAATTGGACCTGGTAGGTGAAGTCCCCAGGGCCATAAGGCGAAAGTCACAAGTACATTTGCAAAGAATGTTAAATGATACTGCAATCAATCAATATTGGTTACACAGTTTTAGCAGAAATACAAAGAACTTCCATGCAGAACTTTAGGGAAAAACTCGTGAAGGAGAAAGTGTTACGTAGGTTTTTAAGAGCAGGGTAGTATTTGCTGGAAACAGGCAAAGGCATGAAGGTAGAAAACCCAAAGACATCTGTGAAGAAACAAGGAGTACACTAGACATGTGATTTTCATATGGACTCCTGTTTTATTTTTTAAAATAATAAAAATTAAAATTAGAAGAATGAAAATTTTAAAAATACAAAATGCCTGACAATTTTTTTTTCAATTCAGCAAACAAAATTACTCCACCAAATACTACCAAAGTTTTCAAATGCTTACTGGCAGTTTGCATTTGTCCCACCATGTGGCCCAGTCCTTGACTACACTATGCACCATGCAGAACAAGGAGCCATTGCTGGAGAGTGAGGGGCGAGCAGACAGGTAGTCACAGCAAAAGGTGAATTGGTATCAGGTCTACAAGTCAAATTTTAAAATAGTGTGTCTTTAAGCTTCCTCATTTTTTCTCCTGGAAGCAGAAAGTACTTAGAGGATGAAGAGAGCAAAATGAGAGTCTTTTTGATGCAACTAGCAAAGGCCCAGGATACAAATGTTCTGTCAATCATTTTAGTTAAATTAGATGAACCTGCACATTTTCCCACCTCTGCTTTCCCTGTCCTCTTTAATGGTCTGTGTGAGCATGT